TGCCAGGGGCTGAGGAGAAGGGACAATGAGGAGTTATGGTTTAAAAGATAGTTTCAGTTTTGCAAGAGGAAAATAATTCTGGAGATGGTGGTGGTGATAGTTGCACAACAATAAGAATGTACTCAATAATAATGTACTGTACATTTTAACATGATTAGGATGGCAAATTTTATGTTTTGTGTATTTTACCACCATAAAAATATACATTTTATTTAAAAACACACAATGTAAAAGAAATGAAGAGTGCCTTTGATTGGCTCATCAACAGACTGGACACAACCATGGACACAATGAGCAAGTTTGAAGAAATGTCAAGAGAAACATCCAAAACTGAAATGTAAAGAAAACAAAGAATGAAAACAGTGGAAGAACACATCCGAGAGATGCAGGACAAGTACAGAAGCTGTAAGATATCTATAAGTGGAAGAGGAGAAAAGGAAAAAAGAGGAAGGAACAGGAAAAATATTTGAAGTGGTAATGGCTGAGGATCTGCCAAAATCAGTTAGTGACATGAAAGCACACATCCAGGAAGCTTGGAGAACACCAAGTAAGATAAATAACAACAAAAAAATCTGCATTAAACATATTATATTCAAAGTGCAGAAAATCAAGGAGAAAGGAAACAACAGAAGCAGAAGTAACCAAAATTGTGAGAGGAATCCATTCTATTACTTCTCTGTCTGTGCCTCTGCCACTTGGCCAGCGAATCAGATCCATTGGAGGGAAGTGCAGAGTAGTGTGGTGAGTCTGGGGTCCCAGCTTCAAGCTAGAGGACCAGAAGGGGGTTCCCTGGGAACAGGGAGTATGGTTAAGGCAGTCAGTTCCAAACAGTTTAGTCTGTCCATGACCAGTGTGGACAACCTGTACTGGTGTTGTGCGTGGAAAGTGCCAGAGCTGGGCCCACCTGGCTGTGTCCTAGTCAGTACTGTGAGCTCTGCAACCAGGCTCCGCAGTCAGTTTGGATTCCCCGCACTTGCAAAAGCAGCATGGTGAGTTTTCCTCAGGAGGAAGGCAAAGCTTCCAGGAGCAGTTCTGGAAAACCTAGATCACTAAGCCCTCCCCCTTGCCCTTCCCAGGTGTCTGGTTTGATTTCCCCCACATCCTTATGAAATCAGCAGGTCTCATTCAGTAAGCAAACTTTACATTGTTACCTTGGTTATCTCCTCTTCTCCCCCAGTCCCTTTCATCTAGAAGGATTGTATGCAAAGGGACAAAAATATTTCACAAACATTGTCATACAAGTGAACCAGAAAAACACATGTTCAGGAAGTGATCAGGATGAAATTCTGAATTTCCACAAATTTCAAAAGGGGTTTCCATAACACTTTTCATCCTGCCTGCTTTTCCAGTGAGGGGTAGGGAAAAGGTCCATGCCTTTCTGTAGACCGCTCAGTGAATACTGGCGTGAGCACCAGGAGAGAGGTGAGAGAGTAGACAGTCAGCCCTTGTTGCAAACTGCAACTATTCAGGCCAGTCCTGCATAACAAGTCAATGCAGAGGACCCTCCACAGAGGGGGTCCAAGTCAGAGTGTGTGGAGGGCTCCCAGGCATTATAAGGGCCCTGCTTCCTCATGAAGCCTTCACAGGCATCTCTAATGAGAAGTGCAAGCATGTGCATCAGAAATCCACTGTCCATGAGCAACTCTGACTCACTGGGTCCCATAGATAAAAAAACCCTTCATCCCCGGCATCTTCAGGGATCCAGATGGTGCAGAACAGCACTTGGGATGTTTTGAAAGATTCAGACTCCACAGAGGGGTGTCCCAAATCTGCAATAGTCCGAGAGTCCAGGACCTGTTCATTAAGTTTTGCTGGCTTCTATTCAGCACCCCTCCTGCTAAAGCTGAAACAGCCTGTCGTGGACAGTTTCAGGTTGTAGGTTAGAGAGAAAGGCAGTGAATTGGGATTTGTGAGTTTGGGGTCCAAAAACTCAGTGTTTTTTTCTGCCTTGTCAGCTTTTGAGTCCCTCCCAATTGACCCCTAAAAAACATGCACCTCTAATCGGCAGCCATGTGATTGCAAGAGAGCTCATTAGCAAACTACAGGGTTCTTGGAATTGGGGGCAGATCTGGGAAGAAGATATGATCAGGAGAGGCAGCAATACACAAGGATGGGGCCTGAACAGGGCTAAGGTAGAGGGGAGTTGCTTGCAGCAGGAGACCCTCCATGAGTTTTTGGGTCAGGAGGGCACTGTCCAGAAGGGAGTGCTAGGGTCTGAATGTTTGTGTCCCTCCTAAAAGGCTGATGTTGAAACCCTAACCCCTGAAGATGAAGGCACGAGGAGGTTGGGCCATTGGGAGGTGCTTAAATCATAGGGGCTGAGCCCTCAGGGATGGGAGTAGCACCGTTTAAAGAGACTCCAGAGACAATCCTGCCCCTTCCACCATGTGAGGACACAGCGAGGAGGGCCCTCACTGCAGCACGCTGGCATATTATTCTTTGACTTCCAGCCTCCAGATCGGTGGGAAGTAAATTTCTGTTGTTGATAAGCTACTCAATCTGTGGTATTTTGTTATGGCAGCCCAATTGGACTAAGGGAAGAAGGCAAGGGACCAACTGGAAAAGTGGCATTGGAGAGGAGGCTCACGTATCTAAGAGAGGTTGCTCAGCAGCTCAGAGGAGTGGCTTGGGGTCTTAGAACCACAAGGCTCTATCTTACCTGTTCTTAGCAGCCAGGCTAGCCCCAAGGGCCCCATAGCCCAGAGCTCAGCACTTTCTTTATGGCTGCAAGGCTGTGCAGAAGCCACAGACAAGTCAAAACTGAAATCACTTTCCCTAGAGAGTGGCTGTCCTGGTAGCCCAGTCAGTTGTGCTGCCTAGAGTCACCTGACTCTGGGGACTCGGTTCATAAGGCAGCAACACACATGGGTCATCTCTGGGGCCTTTAGGGCTCTGAAGAGCAAACCAAACACTTCTCTCAAAAGGTCCTGAACATGGTGCCTAATAAAGACTGTCTGACTTATGGCCACGGGACCCAGGGTTGAATTTCTGGGACTGAGCAGGCTTAGCAGAGGGAGGCCAGTTCCATATGCCTTTCTTCAACGCCAGTGACATCAGCAGTGTGAATATTTCATCTCCAGAGTACAAGGTGAGCCTGATGTCATAGTTCCATGGTTCTTGAATCAAACAACATTAGCTAATGGTCCTACAGAAGCCCTGGGACTCAAGAATGCATATATCATATCAAATCCACAAACTGCCAAACTGTGGTTTCCAGAGACTTCTCTCCAATTTCCCTCCCATAAAACTGGCGAATCCTTTCGAATAAGTAATCAGCAGAATCGTAAGCTATCAAAGGTCAAAAGGAAAACTTTTCAACCTTTAAATAACTCGCTAGAGAAATGATACTTTGGTAAGCAACTGAAGGGAGCTGGAGGTTTAACCAGAGACACTAGGGGCCCCCCTCTGAAAAGCCACCAATTTTTACCCTATAGGGCACGTCCTCCCAGAATAAACTGACTTCTTGAATGAATGGTTTGTAAGCCTGTCTTGAAACACAAAGACCATGGATTGAGCCCGAATCCAGACCTGGGGGCTCTGTTAAGGATGCAGTCCTTAGGCTGAGGGGCACCTTGGGGGATCCTCTTCCCAAATGCCTTGAACTTTCCTTTCAGAAACAAGGGATTGCTCCTTGGAGAGGACAAATGACCTTACTTAGTGGCAGAGCTGGGACAAGGACCTGTGCAGGTTGTGCCTTTCCATGGTACCACTCTATCTCCCTATACAGAATGAGTATTAAGGCCAAAGTTGTCCACAACAACTAGAGATCATGGATCACCAAAACCACTGTAGTATCCACTCCTCTATGGTGAAGATGACTTGGATTTGGCTTTTGTCTCATCCTACACCCAGACTCTCATCTACATTCAAGTACATATTTATGATTATCTTCATGTTGGCTTCCTTCAGTCATGACTACCTAAACAAGTTGTAATTTTCTTTGGTAGTGAGTCTGTGTAAAGTAGTGCCTTTGAAAAGTATATAACCCAAGAGCAAAAAAATGATCCAATGGACCTATCTTCAAAGTGATGGCAGGAGAGGGACACACAGATGGGGGGAGTGTTGTGGGCTTCAGGCAAAGGGAATAACTCTGGCATGAGAGTGAGTCAGTGCACTGCTTTGTTTCAACAGAGCTGAATATATGCCTAATGCCCAAATCAGTAATGAAAAGGGGAAGTACCAAAAGAGATCTAACTTGGAAGTGGGAGGCCAGAAATCTGAGAAAGCAAAAGCCCATCCACCTCACTGAAGAAAGGAGATGATGCATAGAGGAGGCATCAAGGAAGGCTGATTTGAGAAAGCAAATGCAGGCATCCTAAAGTGAGCCCACCTTGGGTAGTGAGAAGCGTTCTTATGGGGAAGAAATGGAAACTAAAGCCAATCTTGTGATCTGAGAGGGGTGAGATTTGGGGGAAAGTGGAGATCAAGAGGGGGCGTTGAAAAAGGGGGCAACCACCTGAGGCTGGGCCAACCGCCATCTTCTGGGAGGTACAGTCTCCCAGGGGCCCATCTGACCCAGGCAGTCTTGATGGTAGCCAAGCTAGGACTAACCAGGGCCTTGCTCTTGAGCAATGAAACAGGCCATCAACAGACCTACCTCTGTAGGGGTGGGAGTGGAGATAGAACCATGGCTTCTCAACACACCCAGTGCCTAGCAACAAGAAACAATGTGCCTGGCAGCAGATTAACATCTTTTCTGGTAACCTGAACCCTGTTTTTCTGTACTTTCTAAAAAGAGAAAAGCTGGGGGCTCTACACATGTCTACTGCCCCACACTTAGCCAAGGCCACACTCCAGAGCAGCCATGAGCCAGCTTCATGACATCACATGACCAATGAACAAGACTGTGACTAAAGCAGCTGGTTGCCTCACGACCAGGGCTCTAGAATTTTTAGGACAGTATATATTGGGCATCCCTGCTGTGACCAAAGGCATTTCTGACCCTAGCGTTCATTGATAGGATCCCGGGTAGCGAATGCTTTTTGATGTAGAGCATCTCCATGGCTAGTCAGAATAACAATGACATGCACGAAGCCAAGCTGGCCCCATCAGAGGATGGACAGCCAAAAGTCAGGGTTCAATCTGATACACTCTGGGATCCACATGTGGCTTTGGAGAGGCATGGGGACCAAGCTGCGAGCCAAGATCCAAGCCCCCAAGACAACCTGCAACCACAGGACCCAAACAGAGGTGCTGCCAATGTGGAAGGAAACATTCTTCTTGGGCTTTCCTTCCCAAGAAAGTTTTGGAGGATAGTGGAGGATGATGCCTTCACATCTGTGTGCTGGAATGTTGACGGAGACACAGTAATCATCGAGGAAGACCTTTTCCAGAGGGAGGTTCTTTGTCGAAGGGGCAAGGAGCAAATCTTTGAATCAGACAGCCTGAAGACTTTCATCAGCCTGCTGAACCTCCATGGATTCAGCAAAATATGCCCAGCAGACTCTTCAGTTTGTTCTCCAGGGGACAATATGATGGTAAAGTAGAAAGCCCTCCTGTTTACCACGTTCTCTGTTACTCGAACATCTTCCCAGTAGACCGAGAAGAACGATATACTGAAAGGGTTTATTTCAGGGGATAACTTTTTGTCACATGAGACAGGATTTATCCAAAGATGAGAAAGTATAGATTTTCAAATGAAACTATAACCCCATTAGAGATAACCTGCAGGGATAATTAAAGACTCTGAGAAGCTAGTTAATGGCAAAGAGATATATTTTCTCCCCAAAAGACTAAAATAATTAATTTTGTTTCAGATCTATCGACACTGCAATTTCCAGAGAGACAAGCCTTGGCTCATCGAGAACATTAAGACAAAAGGCAACCTGATGACTCATGCTTGTCCAGGGACCAGCACAACACTTCCAAAGAGAAAGAAGAAGCTAGCCCCTACAAGACACTCCCCAAGAATTCACCACAAGAATGGCACTAAAGAAGCTGAGGGAAAGGCCCAGAAGAAAGCCTCACGTGCTCGGGGACCCAGTGGCACCCGGTCACTCAAGTACTCGGGTCTGCAGTCCACGAGCAGTGCCATGGAAGTCCAGTGTCCAAGTGAACAAGGTGGCCCAACTGGGGAGGGCACATCTGGTAATGTCATGTTTGTGCCCACTGCTACTGCTGGAACCAACGGCACAAGGGATCTGCCCACCAGCCCCCTTAATGACCCACTATATGGTTCAGTGATGTCTCTGTACAACACCTGTTATTCCATCCTGATGGCTGGCCTTTCAGTCATGGCCCCACCCGAAGACCCTGAGGAGGAGGGGGAGGAGGAAGACTCTTCAGATAACAAGTGTTCACTCTGTGAGCAGTTCAAGGACAATGCAGGCCCCTAAGCTCACAAGTGACAGAAAACAATCACCACTTTGCAACCACTAATCCATTTTGGCTTTAATAAAGTAAAGCAAAACTACATGGTAGTAAATAAACAATCCAATGAGGATTGTGTGTCCATGTTCTTCTGTTTCCGTGCCACACACCTCATCAGATGAGCCCGAGGAGGCTAGAAATCCTGACCCGAGACAGGCTTTTGTTCCCATTGTCCTCTTTCATTTTCACACACTCAGCCAAGGATCTGGCTAGGGAGTCCTGAGGTAAGACCAGGAAGACTGGGTCCTTGGGCTCTGCCTGCTGGTCAGGAGACAGTACTGCTTGGCTCCTGACCTTGGGGGGATACCTTTACATTAGTCATTCATCTTGAAACAGGAGAGTCTTTCCTCACGGGACCCCTGTGATACCAGAAAGTTTCTGATCAGCAGTTCAGCATCTCTAACTCAAATTCCAAGGGCCTCCAGGGAGAACCACCTAAAACTTGGACCACTCCATCTGGTAAGCAGTGTAAGACCTTTTCAGTCAATGCCTGGAGAAAACTCATCATCCTCACATCTAGCCACCATCAGTAACTCTGCTAGAAGGGACCTAGATAAATAATAGATTGCTCATGAAGAAAAACAAAAATCTCTACTCATCACTTTTCCATCAGAGCTGTATTTCAGATTCTTTGGTAACTAAGTAGCTATGTGACATGTCTAATACTCATCTTCACGACCCAAGTGACACTTTTATAACAGGCGAGTCACTTGCCAGGACAGACAGGTGCTTTGTTTCAAAGTCCAATGACCCCCTTCATGATGAATGAGGCCATTCCTGACTGGTCACCCTTCGGCAATCATTCAGTGCCTCCTCACGGCCCTCCAAAATATCCCCTGGATGCTGCTATGAGTTTAACCAGAACCAAGAGAGGGGAAAATGTGTAAGGGAACCCCAAATACTAACCAGTTTTCTTAAGACATTCCAGGAATGTGCAAGACCAAAACGAGTGACAATATCAAGATACTTAATGGCAGCTTCCCCTTTTTCCTATAAGTCCTTGAGACTGTCAATGAGCCCACAGAGGATCCCATGAGGAAGGACTCCTACATCTGTGTGCAGAAATCTGTTTACAAGAACAGCAGATGGTGAGTAGCGCTCTTTCCACAGTAGTGCCAATTCAGATTGAACCTGATTTCTACGTCTGGGACATGATGGCCAGTTGATGGTCATGATTCAGCTGGTTTCTTGGTAACTTCCCTTGGTAACTTTCCTCTTTCTCTGAGGGGATTAGGTGCTCTGGCATGTCTACCTGGTAGACATCCTTTCCCCTTGTCCTGAATATGAGCTCCAGTAACCATATGGGGTTTGAAAATGCAGTCAGGTACTTCGGTTTGGTCAGTACAGCCTGATTTCCACTTCCACAACCTCATCAGGAGCTATGTTTTCTAGGCACTACAAAGTTTCCCCAATGTCAGCGAGCCCTGCGCACCAGAGAGAAGCACAGAGATGGTTTTCCTTCCATAAATCAAGGCTTGCCAGTAAGAGAAAATTATTATTCAAAGTTATGACCACTAGAAGCTAAGCAGATTTCACCAAACACAGAGTGAGCTGGGTGCCTCTGACTGAGCACTTCCGATGTGTCAAACTCTGTTCAGGGAATTCTGGCTGAGGCCAGTGGGGAGAGAGAAATGAAGATGACAGGGCCTGCTCCTCAACAACTCCATCCAGTAATGGGCAAGTTCCAGCCAGATTGCTGAGGGCAGCATGTACAGGTCAGAAGGTCCCCAGCAGCTGTGGGGAACCCACAGACAATCAGGTCCCAAGCACTGTACCAGGTGAAAGGGGTTGATGTGGGATCTCAACCACTGAGTGGTGAGGGAACTTGCTCAGGATGCCATGGGCAGTGGGGATGGGGCGAGTGTGTGAAGTGAAGCAGACAGCCTGAGTCTGGAGGCCACCTGACCCTCTGTGTGCTGTGCAGCCTCTCGTGGTCTGTCACACACATGTATACACATAAACACACATGCGAACACACATGCAGACTTGGACCTGTCCTTGCCTCTCGGAACACCAAGGGGAACTGAGGCCTTGAGTGGACAAAAGGGTTGACCCAAGGTTGTAGAAACTTGGCCCACAGAACCCCAGCCCAGGGCCCCTTGCTGCAAGTTTGAAGGTATGCTGCTTACAGAAACCATAGCCCCACTCCAAGAGGTTCAAAAGAAAACAAGTCCCAAACTCTTGAGCAAGGTCCTGGGAGTACTCTTGGAGGGGTCTGAGCAGCCCTGGGTTATGGCCATTTGCCAGCGATCACTCCTTTTTCCTATCACCATTCAGTCAGTTGCCAGGCGCAATGGAAAGGGCTGGCAATGTGGATGCCTTGTCAGTCAGATGGAGTCTTTGGGGACCTCAAGGAAGAAGGTGGGGAGAGCTACAGAAAGGCAGTCAGGACAGGGTGTGGTCAGTTCTACAAAGGAGGTCACTGAGGCCAGGAGAGCACAGAGAAAGGAGGAAGGACCTTTTAGCTTCACACCCTGTGGGTGGGTTGTAGTCCTCTCACAGCACAGACCATCCTGGGCTTTACTTCTTCTCCCCACCCCAATGACACCAATACTATCAGCTCCCTGGTCCTTTCACTCCAAGGTGCTACCAGTCCTGGAGCACCCTCACCCCTCTCCCAAGGCTGCTGATTGCTAATGCTTGGAATCCAACCTCAGCTGGGCCCTGGGACACCATGTGATCTTGGATAATCCTGTCAGGTGTCTCCTGAACCCTTTGGGTGCCACACCCCTCCATCTCCTAGCTGCACCGCTGTTATCCACTGTCAGGAGATACCCCTGGCCCCCAGCTGAGCCTAGAAAAATGAATAACAGGATCAGGAACAACTAGCACCAGTACCCACACACCATCCCCACGCCAGGCCCTGGGATGGGCATGATTCACAGATCCTAGAATTCAATCCTCAAATAACTGGGTAGGGGCAGTGCCACTGTCACCCCATTCTACAGTTGAAAAGGTGTCTCTGAGGGATGAATAGATGGACCACAATCATGGGGTCCCTGACTGCATCACCCCCCTGTCCTTGCCTCCTTTCCTTGTACCTGGGGAAGGGGGCCTTTTCTCCTCATTGGAGGACAGAGCTTTGCAGTAGCAGGAGCAGAAACCTGGGAGAAAGATGGCCAGGTCATAGTACCTGGTGGAGCTCAGTCCCCATGGGGCAGTGAGTACCTGGCACCTAACAGGACAGTCACAACTGGTGGCTACCCATCATCATAATGGGTACTGAGGCTCGGCTCTGCCCTCTACATGAGCACCCCCATGCTGTCTCTCCCGTCCTGTCTTTAAAGGACATAAACGTCACCTCAGCTATTGTGTCCTCATGTTTATGAAAACACACCCACTCTCATAGAGAAGGCCTGGAGAAAGAAATTTGCCTTGTGTTCATTCCCTTCCCAACCCACTGTCCTGCCAGTCCCTGTGCCCAGCTCCTCTCCATGCCCTCCCTTCCTCTGGCTGGATCACCTTTCCTCGTGTTCTGAACCCCACCTCTCTTGCTCACCCAAGTACCTTATCCATAAAAAAAAAGGGCTTTATAGAGGTAATCAAGTTAAAATGAGACCCTCATCCAATGACTGGTGTCCTCACCTAAAGGGAGAATTTACAGACAGACATGCATACAGGAGAATACCTTGTGAAGACGAGGCCGAAATTTATAAACCAAGGGATGACAAAGCTTGCCTGCAAACCACCAGAACCTTGGGGACAAGGATGGACAGATTCTCTCTTAGTCCTCCGCAGAGGCAAATTCGGCTGACACCTCAATCTTTGACCTCCAGTCTCTGCAACTGTGAGACAAGACATGTCTGTTGACTAAGCCACTAGGGCTGTGGTGCTTTAATGTGACTATCTCGGCAAATGACTACAGAGGCATAGCTCTTTCCCACACATCTTCACAGGATAGAGAACGATTTTGCCATTGACAGCCCATCAAGCACATTCCTTCATGTCTGTACATTTTCTTCAGGCCTATATTTTGCTGCCTGCATGCTATCTCACTGTCAGCTGCCCCAGGATTGATTGACTTTCCCCTACTGATGAAGAGTTACAGGCCACTTTGCACTTTCTGCCACTATAAAAGAAACTACCATATTCATCGACTGTAGACTTGTTAGGAGGAGGCCTGGGTCATGTGCATGCACATCTGAGATGCTGATACATGCCAGCAAACANTTGCAGTAGCAGGAGCAGAAACCTGGGAGAAAGATGGCCAGGTCATAGTACCTGGTGGAGCTCAGTCCCCATGGGGCAGTGAGTACCTGGCACCTAACAGGACAGTCACAACTGGTGGCTACCCATCATCATAATGGGTACTGAGGCTCGGCTCTGCCCTCTACATGAGCACCCCCATGCTGTCTCTCCCGTCCTGTCTTTAAAGGACATAAACGTCACCTCAGCTATTGTGTCCTCATGTTTATGAAAACACACCCACTCTCATAGAGAAGGCCTGGAGAAAGAAATTTGCCTTGTGTTCATTCCCTTCCCAACCCACTGTCCTGCCAGTCCCTGTGCCCAGCTCCTCTCCATGCCCTCCCTTCCTCTGGCTGGATCACCTTTCCTCGTGTTCTGAACCCCACCTCTCTTGCTCACCCAAGTACCTTATCCATAAAAAAAAAGGGCTTTATAGAGGTAATCAAGTTAAAATGAGACCCTCATCCAATGACTGGTGTCCTCACCTAAAGGGAGAATTTACAGACAGACATGCATACAGGAGAATACCTTGTGAAGACGAGGCCGAAATTTATAAACCAAGGGATGACAAAGCTTGCCTGCAAACCACCAGAACCTTGGGGACAAGGATGGACAGATTCTCTCTTAGTCCTCCGCAGAGGCAAATTCGGCTGACACCTCAATCTTTGACCTCCAGTCTCTGCAACTGTGAGACAAGACATGTCTGTTGACTAAGCCACTAGGGCTGTGGTGCTTTAATGTGACTATCTCGGCAAATGACTACAGAGGCATAGCTCTT